CATTTCTGTGCAAGGTCTTGCTGAGGAAAATCGAGTTCTAGTTCTTTTCCCACTCTAGCTCACAGTATTTTCTTTCTTCCTCTTCTGGAATTATTCTGTCCCTCTGTTCGTTTGACAGTTATTGATTGTCTTAAACTGCTGCATAATGTTCTTGCTCAAGTTACCAAACCAGATTTTAATTGATATGAAAACAGAACCTATCCTTTACAGCGTTTTTAATATATATTTTATTTATTTATTATTGAAATTTTTGTGTATTTCACACAAAACAGCTGCAACAATCTTAATCCTCTTTATACCCCTGTCCCCACTGGCACCCTTCCATAGTGCCCCCCGACTAGGGCCCATATACTCTGTCATCCCTGCTAAGGCCCATTGTGTTGTCCGTGTCTCCAGCCATTCTCCAGTGCAAGTCTGTCCACCAAGTCTAGTCAGCCTATCTAGAGTCCCTTGTTTTAGGAAGATCAGCTCTTCTTCATCTAGCAACAATCAGTTGCCATCATTCTTTCAGATAAGATTTAGGTTTTCTGTGCATTTTCCCAGTTCTATGTTAGGTTATTGTCTGCCTGAGTTTGCATGGGACTTGTGTATGCTGACACTCTTACCATAGAATCATATGAGCAGGTTCCCAGGAGCTTGTAGGACTCTGTTTCCTTATGGTCATGCATTTCCTCCCTGGCTCTTACAATCTTTCTGCCCCCTCTTCTGTGATGGTCCCTGAGCCTTGGGTGGGTGAAGTTTAATAAAGGGGTCCTGTCCAAGGACCATCATTCAGCAGATTCTTGACCTCTACACTTTGGTTATGTGTGACCTTTTGTGTTCCCAGCCCTCCACTGCATGAGGGAGCTTCATTATTGAGAACTGAGTGACTCATTAGTATCCTCTTCTTTATCCCTGTTCTATGTCCCATGAGCCTTAGGTGAAGATATTGCATTGTAGATGTATCACTTAGCCCTGAGCAATTCAGATGAAAGCAACCTAAATGTGCCTCAACTGATGAGTGTATAATAAAAATGTGGAATATTTACACAATGGAGTTCTACTCAGTGGTAAAGAAAGATGAAATCTTGAAATTTGCAGGTAAATGTATGGAACTAGAAATTGTTATTCTAAGTAACATAGACTCATAAAAACAAATGATGTATGCTCTCCCTCATATGTGGATCCTAGCACCAAATCCTTATGAGTATGTATCTAGACATAATTATATGAACCAGAACAATGAAAAGGAATGAGGGAAGTAAAGGAAAAGAAAGAACCTGAGAGAGAAGAACAGTAGGAAACAGGTGTTACTAAGGGAGAAATGGATAAAATTGGGGTTATTTAAATGGGAGGGGGAGGGCGGATTATATGAGGAACCTTGGGGATAAAGGGTAAGAAGGAGCTCAAGAAAGGTGGGACCATAGGTGACAGGTACTATCAAGGGTGAAATGGGGAAAATGGGGGCACTTTAAATGGGTAAGCCATGGCAAAAGGGTTAGATAGTGAGAGGGAGGAAAGATAAATAACACCTAGCTAGTTTTAAAAAATCAGAGGGAACCATACTAGTCCAACAACCTACTGACAAATTATACATACAGTGGTTTTTTTTTAATACTCTATATTGTCACATGCCCCACAGTGTACACGATGGTTGCTTAAAACGTTATCATTTTACTGTTACTTAAATAAAAGGCTGTGCTTTGTTGGTAGATTTTTTGTCACATAGCACCTTTAAGCACAGATACTCAACATGGTCAACTCTCATACAATTTAAAAGACTAAGCTCTCATAAAAGTTTTACCCTATGTTTATCCGTTATACAAAGAGCTATTCCATCTTCTTTCATGAAAACTACTGTTTTCATTTTTTAAGGATAATATATTAATTTTCTTTTTATAGGAAACAATATCATACCAATAAAAGTGTTTTGTTTATAAACCCTCCTTCCCTTCACTTTTTTTCAGTGTCATCTTGGATCTTAGCAGTTCTGTTATTGAAATTTGAAGTGAAAATAATCACCAGACTCCAATGCAGACAACAAAAGACATGGTAGTATCCTTATTTAATTTTATTGAAAAGAAATCATTTCTATTCTAGCACAAACAATGTATATTTTACATCATAAAGCAAGATATAATTTACATATTACATTTCTTATGAGATCTTTATTACCATTATGTCATTTCCTTTATTCATTAGGTCACCACTTCTTGTTTAATTTAACATACCAAGTAATCTACTAATCAACTTCTGGTTGGGTAAGGGATAGGGGACAATGAGAGTTCATATACCTTCATCTGGGAATATGGATGTACATGAACAGAGGTATGCCTTGAGTTTATGGCACTGAGATCCTCCTCTGACAATTCTCCTTCAAATTACTTGTTAATGTTGTGGAGTTTTTTTAAGTCAATAATAAATGAACAAAATTGAGTGTTAGTGTTACTTGTATGTTTCTTGATCAAGTGCTCTGATAAAGATACTTGTGGGATGGGTCCATCAGCAATAAGCATTCCCGTAACTAACTAGCACAGGTTATTATTCTATGGAATTCCTAGACTTCAAAGCATCAGATTAAACCTCTCAGTTTCCCTGTAAATCTATGGATTCAAGCTTTTGTGATAGCTACTTACATGGGTGTCAGCGTGAAGGTCAAATGACTTAGAATGATTTTCATATGACCCTTTTCCAAGATTCTCCCCTCTTAGCAGAACCTTTTCATGTGTAATTTCTCTTCTTTGCCTATAACCCAAATCCTCTTTTAGCTTTTCTCCCCAAACTCTAAATGCCCAAAGTTTACCAGTCTCTTGGATTTGTACTCATTTTTCAAACCAAAGAATGTTTTTGCAGTAGTGATAAACTGCTCCTTTGCTACTTAATACATAGAAATTAGTGGGACAAATGACTGAGTGCAAGAGGCCCCTTAGAAGCAGGTAATGCTCTTCAGCCATCCCACATTAACCATTGTGAAAGAAGTACTTTAACAATGAATTAAATGGAGAAGGAATCACTTTTTGAGAGCAAAATGTGCAAGATGGTCTTACTTCTTATTGTTAAACAAAGTACAAAATCACTTGAAATGTATTTTCAGATTACTGAACACTAGACTGTAATAAAATGCCATTAGCTCAATCTTATATGCCAAAGTAAACACAAATGTAGGCTAAAAGTTCATCTTGCACCCCAAATTCCTTGCTTGTCACTCATAATACAAAGTTGACATATTTGGTCAAAATCAAATTTAATCACTGGTAACTACAATTATTAGAACCAAGCTGGTGATGAGAATATAAGCTAAAATTTTGTCTATTCTTTGTGTCTTGAATTATCCTTTGGTAAAATGATGTAACTGTTGAGAAATCTGAAAATATAAACCTGTTTCTTGTTTCTAAATATAAGGTTCTACATATGTACAGCAAGGTAGAATTTCCTTGCTAGAAAACAAAGCTTCCAGATGCTGTGTCAGTCCATGAGCATGGTATACTTTTAAAGTCCCTTTCCTCCCATGGCTACAAAGTGCTGGAGATACAGAGAATAGGAAAGGATGAAAGAAGGAGCAAATGAATAGAGCCTCACAACATCCCTGTGAGGTAGGAAAGTATTGTCAGACCTGTTTTATAAACAGGTAAACTAGGTACCGCATGGTAATGTGGTTTGGACACGTTAATCAGGAAAGTTCACAAACCACAGCTGGAAACAAAGAGAAATGAAGAAATACCAGGTCTGCTTCCCAGCCCCAGATGATAAAACCAATATCAAAAATACTGAAATACCAAAGTCAACAACTGTCCTTGAAATGTTTGTAATTTAGAGAAAACTTTCAGTACTCTACTTAAACTTTATGTAGTTTTTCTTTTATATTTCCTTTGAGTGAAGAAAGAGCAGATGCTTATCTTTCCCTCCTCTCTCTATTTCCCATAATAGTTCAGAGTATATCAACTTCCACTGGACCTCAGACTCCATGTCAAGGACATTTTTATAGTGTCAAATGATTCCTAATTCATTTAAAGCCCTATGGTGAAAAAGGAGACCTGTTTTCAAACAGTTGCCTGGCTGATTGCTCTCTGACCTTAATAGGAATTTTATACAGAATATGAAAAAAGCAAGATGCCTTACTAATATCTCATCACTGTGAAGATAAAGGCGGTGGGTAATGGTGTAAAGTTTGCTTTTCATAGT